TGTGTTGTGTGTCACAACAAACACATCAAACGCATCATGAAACACAATCAAACACAACAAACTCGCACAACAGACTCGCATTGTCTTTACTCTCAGTAAAAAGGGACTCTACTCCAAGCTCCTCGAATATTCAATTTTTATTCTCTACATATTTAATATTTTACCCGCGAGAATCCGAGGACACCCGAACGTTCACATGACGTCTACCGTAGTACGGCATCGCACCTCGGAGCTCCCGAAAGTTCTCGCGCTTTTCAGTGGGAGCGCGAAAAGATATTAGGGACGCGGACTAATCCGCACTGCAAGATTTCAGTTAAATCCGCTCCGAATATCCCCGAACTCGCGTCTCCCTAGCATGCACACACCGCGCCAAAGACAACAGTTTCCGATGCGCTCCCAAGTTGAGCGCTCATAACTTCAAAGACCAGTAAAGTAAGTAACCCTTCTTCACAATTCCATCCTCCGTCGCCGCTTTTCATCGCTTTCCCGGCGCAAAGGCGAACCCCCGTCCCCTCATGAGCCACAAAACGCATTAAGTTTACAGGGAACAAAGGGTCGTCCTAAAATATAGTTTCTCTCTTATGTCGAAGGAGTGACGTTTTGCACGCGTCGTGGCCTGGCGATTATATCGCGCGGTGTGGTGCTTTCCGCCGCACAATAGAACGCGGAAAAGTCGGACACGGAATTTCTGACTGAAACTTTAAAGTTTAATCCTTATATTGTCATATTTTAAATTTAGAGGGTGTTTTCCGCGGAAAAATTTACGAGAATCAGTTAATACACCTTCAATAGCCCATTTTTTCATATTAACAAAAATACATGGAGAAAAAAATCTCGTGCGTGGGACCCGAAGTTTAGGTCATATGGATCTCTGAAGTTTTCGGATTGAGCATCTGAACGCACTTTAGGTATAGCTGTCGAGGTTCGGATCACGCATCTGAAACTTCGGTTCTTACATCTGAAAAACTTCAGTTTCCACATCAGAAAAACTTCGGTTCTCACATCCGAAAAGCTTCGGTTCTCAAATCTGAAGTACTTCAGATGTAAGAACTGAAGTTTCAGATGTGTGATCCGAACCTCGACAGCCAGACCTAAAGTGTTCAGATGTTCAATCCGAAAACTTCAGAGATCCATGTGACCTAAACTTCGGGTCCCACGCACGAAGTTTTTTTCTTCGTGTACAAGCTTCAAGAGTCATTGGAAAAGTGGCTGTAAAATTATTTACTAAAACTTCAAATGTTAATGTTTATTTTGTCACATTTCTTAACTTAAAGGGTGTTCTCAAAAGTAAGTGATATCAGGAGTTCAAACTGAAACACCTTTAATTTTCTCGGGGTTTTTTTGGTATTAACGTACATACAAGTATCGAGAGTCAGCGAGAGAGGGTGGGTATGAAATTTTTGACTGACACTTCTGATGCTTTTGTTTATTTTGTTACATTTTAAATTTGATGGTGTCTCCATCAGATAATTTTACGAAGTTCGTAATTACGATGATATTTTTATGATTATTAATTTGGTTGATTTACTTGAAGTTTTTTATAAGCCACGCATATGTAATGAAGTGATGAATTTTAGTATTTTGTGTATACTTTTGATCTCCTTGACCTCTTCAATCACTTTTAACCCTTTCCACTGTGTGACGGGCACCACCGAGGCAGGTAATTGGAAAGTGAGAACGGGGGAGCTTCGCGGGGGAGGGGGAGGGGAAGGGTAAGGGGGTTTGGGGGAAATAAATTGTAATATGCGCGAGAGCGACGCTCCCGAATTCGCCCGGTTAAAACCCCCTGACAGGCCCGCCTAGCGATGACAATGTCGTCTCGCGAGCGTTAAATCCCGACTTGGCGAATTTTAAGTTTTCACGCGTTGCCAGTTTGGCTTCGCCGAAGTTTTCACGGTGCCATATGGGACTACTTTCGTTTGTATGAAGCACCAATGTGTTTCGTCAAAGTTACCGGAGCAATGAAGTTTTTGTTCGTACAAATCTGCGAAAGAACAGTATTTCCCCAGAGACAAGAGACCCTCCACTGGCCTCCTAGTGACAGGTGGAAGATTTTAATTTCGGGGTTTCAACAGTTCCTCATGGACAATTATAAGGAAGCAACAGTCATCACCCTAATTTTGGCTGTTGACCTACCTACATGGTGGATGATGAGTTTCGGATGACGTCATGAGCCAAACAGGTTTCCCAATCTTCGGCCATTTTCGGCTTGTTTGCTAAACAAAACTGCCAACACGTTGTTAAACATCAACCACGTAGGTAAGTCAACAGTAGAATGCTGAAGTCCCGAAAGTAAAAGCTACCACCATTGCCGAGATACCAATGGAGGGTCTTTTGTCTCTGTTACTGGAACAGTGAAGTTTTTTGTCGTACAAAACTGCGAAAGAACAGTATTTCCCTTGCCGTCTATCCCAAGTATACCCTTTCATTTTCTACCAAGTTTTAACCAAAAAAAGTGTCAATCGGCGGTCAAAAACGTGAATTTCAAGTAGGTATTATTCATGTAGGAAACAACGTGCCCAGCTGCTTTGTCTAATGTGGAATAATGAATAAGGTCAAAGGTAAAATTTTCCGATTTTTATCCAAGCTTTAGAAATCTAAAGGTCATAAACTGCGTTTAACGATTAAGTTATACGAATGCATTTTTAGGAATTTCGGGTTATAAGATTTTAGAGTCTTTTTTGGCAACCATACACACACGATCAAGTTCTGAAGCAAAGGATTGATGACAAAATTGATCATATTATTGTATTCTGTGTTACTCTGTCGTTTGTTCTGTGTTGACTCCATCCGTAACACATGCTTCGAAAATCCCAGCATCTTTTCTACACAGTAAGAAAAGTAACCAAAATCTTGTGTTAACAAGGGAGATACAACCCCTGGTAAAAATTGGCAGTAGAATATGTGTTCCAAAATACCACAGACCTACGGCCGGCTGTAAGATTTCCAATAGCTCCTATAGCCGGCTACACAATTTCTTATAGCCTTTTAAAGCCAATGGCGATTAAGCAACTCACAGCCAGGCGATAAAGTGTATGCTAAACGTCACTAATTACGGATACTAGGACTTAGTGAGTTTTTGGACCACTGCTTTCTTTTTGGGTCGTAGTCTCTTGATTTATTTTGCGAGGAAAGCTCCGTACTTTTGATGGCTGCCTGCCATTCCTAATATATTAGAGCGCCTTCAGTTTCGTATGATATTGTGCAATACCTCTGGTGTGAAATGGTTGCTTCAAGCGCCGTGGCACGCTGCGGTGCGGCAGGCGGGCAGCCAGCGCTAAACGCGCATTGACGCCTACAAACCTAACAGGGATACTTCTCGCGTTGCGCAATGCGTGAAGTATCCCTGTTAGGTTTGTAGGCGCCTGTGCGTCGCCGCTCCGCTTTGTGTTAGGCTCTAATATTTAATCTGGCGTATTCAGCGTTATTCAACTCATGATTTTGAAATGTTTACACATCCTGCATGGAGTATTCTCGTTTTAATTGATGAAAAAAAAATATGTATTAAAGGAAAATATAATGGGTGTTTTGTAAATATTAAGGTTGTTCAATATCAAAATTAATGATTTCCAAAGCACACGAATTTCTACACAATTTCTTATAGCCTTTTATAATCGATGGCGAAAAAGCAACAGCCAGGCGATAAAGTGTAAAGCCCGGCTATAGGAACTATAGCCCGGCTACATGATTTTTTATCGCTTCGTATAGCCCGGCCGTATGATTTTCTCCGCATTCTACAGCCAGCTATATGATTTTTTGTAGCCTTCTTTAGCTGGGTATAAGAATTCCTATGGTATTTTGAAACGCAGCTCTTATCGCCAATTTTTACACACGAAGCATCACAAGCTGTTGGTTGATTTTTTGTCTGGTCTTCCTTGTGTCAAATCTACCAAATCTTCGGATTAAGGTGACCAAATCTTTGTGTTGAAAATCTTCGTCCTCCTTCAAAAATTAGTCGCCAGCCGCCAGGAAGGAACCTGGATATATCGGTGGTAATCCAATGTCTTAGCCACTCTCAAGTCGTGATCTCTAAAAATGAGGTGGGCGGGAGAGTACATAAGTTCAGCAGCAGGACACTCTCTTCACGATCCTGTGTCTCCTGTGTCCTGTGTCTGCTGCATTGACCGAAAGCAACGGTATGGGTCAATTCACGCAAAAAAATTGTATTGAGCAACCAAGTCCGTTGGCTTGATCTGACACGAAAAAAGTAACACATTTAACACAGAGTATCACCAAACACAGGCATTTTCATCTGTGCATGTCGGAAATTAACGTTGGCTGCGAAATTGGACCATCGCAATCACCAGGGTGGCAAAATTTCACAAAAAATAAAATTTTGAAATTTCACGTGAAATGTTTCATATTATGTCAGAAAATTATGAAATGTATTGAAAAATACCGGTTCCTTTCCATGTTCCGCAAAGTGAGAACACTTTGTCTTTCTCCTATTTTTGTGTGTTTGGTTGCGGTTTGCATCACGGAAAAAATAAAATTGTTAATTTCACAATTCAATTGCTAAAAAAAGTGACTGCAATGTTTCAATGTAGATTTCACAACACAAAAATGCTAATTTTACCACCGCCGCGGTTAAATTAGCTTACGATAGTGGTTAATGTAGCAGTTTTTTGTTGTAAAATCTACATTGAAACATTGCAGTCACTTTTTTTAGCAATTGAATTGTTAAATCGGCAATTTAATTTTTGTCGTGTACTCTAGTCCCTAAAAAATATAAAATATTTCAGTCTCGTGAAATTTCATGAAATATTTTACTGTAATGTCCAATATTTCATTTCTCTCTTATGTTTCACGCCACCCTGGCAACCACCAGAAGATTTCAAGAGCGTTGAGAAAATGTATCATGCGAGAAACTTGTTATCCTGTGGAATGAACCTGAGTTACGGCAACGGCAGACCCGGGTTATGAGTGAACTTATATTAGGGAAGTTTTGAGGGATGGCCTGTACAACGACGATGACGTGTGGTCTGGTTTTGTGCCGGCAGGAAGAGCATGGCGCTAGGATGCTGAAGGAATGAGAAATATCTCGTTGCGATCCGGCACTGTGAGTAATCTGCAGTCATCGCCCATCAGCACCGAGGTTCGTTATCCGTTCGGCGTTCAGAATGATTTCGGCCAGGTCGTCATCCCGACCAGACTCAAGGTGAGCCACACATACCACCATTTCTAATTAGTCATGAGTTTTAATAACTTGCCCTACCTATCAACAATTGAATCACTAAGAACGAAAACACACCAACTCGGTATCTCGAAAATACTTAAGTTTCATTAAAGACATTCAGTTTTCATGAAGGTCATCTATGTTAGCGCATCTGTTCCAACTTAGACCTTTGAAGTGTCCTTGACTACTTGTGTTTTGGCACCAAACATCTTTGCCTTTAACTAACTCCTTCACTTACCGTGCAGTTTTGTGTGTTTCTTGATTATTTTCATTTTTTTGCGTTGGTGTGTTTTTGTCCTCACTGATTCAATTAAGATCCAAAATTTTTCCTCCACTTTCTGATCTCCACACCATCCTTTCAAAGTTTTTACATGAAATCCCTCTCTTTTTCAAAAGAAGTGGACGTATTTCTGTCAAATGGAACTAAGCGCCAATTTGACTTCCTTTTGAGGAATTTAGAATTCCGGATAGCGCGTTCTGTCAAACGGAACTAAGCGCCATGGAAAAGCATTGAGAGCATAGGATGGAATGATCCCGGCGCCCGGTTCCGCCGCCAATCCAAGCCCCCCTCTAATTTTCTCACCCTATGGCGCTTAGGTCCGTTTGACAGAAATACGTCCGATTAATCTCCAAATGTAATGTATTCTTCGTTTGTCCTTTCTTTTAATTTTGTGTACTACCCTTTTGTGACCCCTTCTTTTTAAATTTTTAAATTCTGTACTACACTATTTTGATCTCTCATCCTCTAAAGTGTTAATAGCTCAAATGTTAAAAGCACCAAATAAACGTATCTACCAACCAACCAATCCAACCATACATTTTTTGAGCATTCAATTGCGAATCTCATGTCTTAAGGTTGTAGTGGGATAGTTGCGCTGGTCACAGAATCGTGTTTTGAACTTTTGATGCTTGATTCTTGTAGTTTAGCTAAAAAGAATAAGGTCTGACCAAACAGCAACTTTCTACGTTGAATGTTAAACAAGATATCGCGCTTCGAAAAATTCGATTCATGACGTCATCTACAGCGGTAGTGACACCCTTGCTTTCTTCCACCTTTCTTTCATCCGAGTTCCATGTTGGGCATCCAGCGCAAATGTGCGTAACAACGAAACGACTGAACGCAAAGTCTTGTAGGCGGTAATATGCTTTTCACGCCAACCGACCGACTGCACTGCTTTTGGCGCGTTGCGAGAAGTATTCATACAGTCTTGTAGGCGCTAATATGCGGCTCGCGCCAAATGCAGTGTTTGGCGCAATGCGAGAAGTATTCATACAGCCTTGCAGGCGCTAATCTGCGCTCAACGCCGGCCGCAATGTGTTTGGCGCGATTATTCGAACTCGCGTTAGAATACTCGCGGCTTCGAATGATGAGGCTTGAAAGGCCTTACTTTCATCCGAGTTTCACGTTGAACAACAACAAGTGCAAATGTGCGTCACGCTGACTAACGAAAGCAAGGTGGAAGAGACCAAGGGTGTCACTACCGCGGTGGATGACGGCAAAACCCGACTTTTCTTGGAGCGATATCTCGGTTAATACTGAACGTAAAAGTGTGCAGTTTGGACGGATCTTATTACTTTTAGCTTATATACAATAATCAAATATCAGATATCAAAAAGTTCCGGGTAGAATTCAGAAAAATCTCAAAAGCTCCGAAATTTGGTTATAGTTCAGGGCAAAGTGGGAGCACTGAAAATCACCATCATGCCCGTACTCTCTCAATATAGGTACTACTGGCCAAATGTCAGCCGCAACTTTCAAACAACTTTTCCTTTCCGACACCCTTTTATACTCCTTAAGAACCACCCTTCAGAACTTCGCACTCCGGATCGATGAAGCCAACCACCGGAAGCACTTCGTGGGCGACTATTCTTTGACCTATAAACTTTTTGTTTTCCAACATGACAGGAAGACAGTCAACTCCGAAAGACGAACGCACTTGTTTTGCATTCGTCCTCCCCGTTGAATTTCGCTCAATGTTTTATGAGTTGGCAGCACTCGGCATTATTCATACGCCCTCTGCGGAGGTGACTTTGTTGACACATCACTCATAACGGAGTCTCGGCAAACGTACCTGTTATCCGCCGAATGGTCAATCGTGACCGCCTTAAGCGCTCTCGACAAAACGACGTACAACTCTCCGTCACGTGAGCCCGCGAGAGCGTGGAGGTCCATGGACGACGCGGCTCAGCTAAAAATGGAGATACGTTGTTTTGCAGTCAGGATGTAGGCTGTACAAACAAGGCACCTGCAAACGGATTATCGACTACTGGGGCGAGTAAATACTGACCCGGTCAACCTGGTTTCAGGTACTGCTTCAGGAAATTGTGCCAATGCTTGCGCTATTCGTTCGAATGTAACACATGGTGAAGCTTTCGTGTTGGTACGAACGCATAGATCCTTAGTTTGGTAAGCCACTGGAATAGAATTTCTTACAAGAATGTGGCTCTTAACTTACATAAATTCTAAACGTGTTACAGTGGCGAGCATTGGCGGATCCAGCAATGGGCCTGTTGCAAACTTTTGCTAGAGCAAAAATAAGAGTTGTTTCTTATAGATAATGCCTCAAAAATCACGATGAGCGCATCGGCAAGTCTGAAATGCACTCATAACTTCACAATCTGCGTAAGAAATTTGCGTTTTTTTAAGCTTCCCGCTTCAAAAACGATACTACGGCACAGGTGAACATTTTGTTAGAGGAGTCGCTCCGTCGTCGGCGATATTCATCATGATGGCCGACGCTTGCGCGCAGTTCCGCGCGTAATTCGAGGAGAGTTCAAGGTCAATCAATTCGGGCGTGGAAAATATGAACGTTAACACGCCGATTGTTATCTGGTCTAATTCAGTTCAGGTGTTATCTCGTCCCATCACACGTGTTTTGGCGGATTGACGTCGGCCATGATGAGTATTGCCGACGATGGAACGACTCCTCTTACAAAATGTTCACCTGTGCCGTAGTATCGTTTTTGAAGCGGGAAGCTCAAAAAACCGCAAATTTCTTACGCAGGCTGTGAAGTTATGAGTGCATTTCAGACTTTGCCGTTGCGCTCATCGTAATTTTTGAGGCATTGTCTATAAGAAACAACTCTTATTTTTACTCTAGCAAAAGTTTGCAACAGGCCCATTTGGCAGCACCGGATTTCCTCCATTTAAACCTATGAAAATGTATCGATTCTTGGAGGGGCCAGGTGCTCCGACAAGAATCGATTATTTAGCATAGGTTTAAATGGAGGGAATCCGGTGTTGCCCAATTGCTGGATCCGCTTCTGGTGGCGAGGCGTGAATGATTGATGATCGATTTCTCTTCACTTGAAGCTATGGTAAATTATCGATTATTAAGGTGTTCGTTGCGAACACTCTGTTTTTTCGATCTTTTCCCATAGGTTTAAATGACAGATCAATCTATAAAACACGCCGCGTCACGCCACTCACGTGTTCCTTGTGAAGGAGGAGGGAATGTCCCAGTGGAATGTTAATTTGAAGAGTGGAAATTTAAAATTTGGGGAGCTCCACCAGATTTCGCAAATATCGTGTAACTATTGCTCTCATTCAACAGGAATCTTGGGACCTAAGAACAATAATTCTTGTATTGAAATTAAGACCAATATGTAGGCAAAATTTCCTATAAAAAGTCTTTAAAGCGAGGGCTTTTATGTTATTTTACAGTGAGAAGCATCATGCAGAATTTTAGTGACACTTATGACAGTGCGGATGTGCACACATGCATGCAACACTTACAAATGCTTGGATGCAACAAAGAACATCTGCGTTGCGTATCCGGAATAATGAAGGCGCTTTTCGATAGAAACGCGTGGATGCAACAAGGATCATCTGCGTTGCGTATCCGGAAAATTAAAGGCGCTTTTCAGCAGAAATGTGTGGATGCAACAAGGAACATCCGCGTTGCATATGCGGAGAAATGAAGGCGACTCAGCTTTTGAACGGAACCGAGATTGAAAAAGGTCACTTAGCTAACGCTACGTGGCTCAAAAGCACTGCCGTGAAAGCAAGCGTTTAATATGGCCATGCCCCGCGAGCACCCGGTCGGGAGCGGAGCCGTGAAGCAGCTGTCAAAGAAAACAGATACTTTTCATAATAGCCATTGATGGGTAAATAAAGCAGAATCCTGCTTTAATCCAATTACTCGTAAATGCAACCCGCCCGCCCCCGGATGTCCCGCACTCGGACCGCGGTGCCACGTTGCCGAATTTGGCAGTAATGCACAAGAAAATGGACACAGGCTTGTTGGGAATTCGGAGATTTAGCAACGCTGCCCGTGACTGGGGCTGAATTGGCGATAAATCTGATTACGGCGAGGTATTCGTGGCTCTGTTCGATTTCATTTCATTTTCGTCGTCAGCAGTGTCCTCTCTCCGAAGCGACTGACCGCGGGTTTTTCGACAAAGGAACTTCATTCGACCCCTTTAATTTAATGGTAAAAGTCGGGAAACCGGTATTTCAAACGTAAAGTTTCAAAATATCCAAAATTCTAGCTCGACTAACCACAAAGATACTGGTGTATTGCATTTTGCTTCTGATGTTTGAAGGGGGTTAATCGGTACTTCTCTCAGAATACTTATTCGGTCTGAACAAAGGCAAAGTTACACAAGTAGCTCAAAACGGAAATAGTTGAAAGAAAACAAGGGAACACTGGAAACAGGGCTGAAGTACATAAAAATACACGGGTAACATAAGTTAAAACAATTAGGATTAATACATTACTGTAGTCGTGGTTGTATAGTCTCGTAGTGCATGAGATAAGGAAGTGCCAACACCCTGATAATCTGTGGGAGGACCGAGTTTTGTGGCAGTTAGGCGTCGCAGGGCGCCGGAGAGCGCTGTGAGAGCGACTCTTGTGTATATAACAAATTTCAATAAATCTTTTCTCAAATAGTAAGGGGAGGAAGGAAAAGAAGTAGAAGAAGAATGACGGTAACTAAGGAGACGTTTCGCTGCTCCCCTAACGTAAGGACGTATCTCTTTC